ATGTTAAATACATCCAATTATAAAAACTCAATAAATATAATACAGAACAATACTCATATTTAAACTATAGTTTAGATTATAATATTGGCTGATTAAACTGTTTAAACAATGATACTAATTAATTAAGTTGAAAGTCAATTGTTAAAATCGATTGAAGTTATTCGAAAGCTATTAAACATATTTAAAAAATATCATCTAAAATTGCAACAGAAGTTTAGAATTAAAATGAAACAAATTTCTTAGTTAGATAGGTACCTTAAATGAATATTCATTTATCTGAGATTTTATTTTAAAATCTGGCAAAAAAACTTGTTCTATTTGAGGAATAGGCCATATTGTTTTACTAGCTTTTAATCGATCTATAGTTAAATCTTTCCACCTGCAAAAACAAAATTTATAATATAAAATATAATCAAATTTACCTACCTAATGTGTTATTTAGTGATTTATCTGCTCAACTTAATATTAAGACATAAGATTTTTTTGTGAGTTTAATACAAACTTTTGAATGCAACAATCGTATTCAATAATATAATAATGATTATATTTTGYACTTTTCATATTTTTTAATATTCATTAATATGTAAGTAATGTTAGAAAAATTAAAATATTACAATACATACATATCACATGGAATACATTTTGACAATAAAATAAAAAATTAATAGACRAACGATTACTGGTTATTGAATGTCATGCAGTTAAAAAAATATATTTTATAGATAAGTTTAATACTATAAGTACACAAACTTAGAAATAACTTAATTCATAACACATCATTATGCAGAAATAATTCAAATTCAACTTTCACAACATGCTATTCAATTTAAACATACAACTAGGCATATTGTGTAACACATTTTTTTTTTAAATTCATATTTAAAAACAAAATATTTTTATATTCAAAATGTATAATAATATACCACATACATTATGATAGATCATATTTATCACTTTAATAAAACAATTTATAAAATGAAATTTTTTAAGGATTTTTAGGACAATAATTACTATCAA